GTTCTCTGAACTAAATTTCTAAATGTCACATAGAGATGGTCTTGACAAGTAAATGAAATTTTCCTACAGTCACCCGACAAAGTTGGTTTAGATGACTTTTGGTTTAAAGGTGTAAGGCAAGATAAACTTGAATGAGTTCGCGAACCAGCATGATCGGACCATGGGAACGGGGTTTTCCGGTGGGTTTTATGGGGTAAAAATTGGTTTTTCTCTTTTTTGACCCCCCAAAAAAAACAAAATTTCCCAATCTGTCTCTAGATCAGAGTTCATTTTCCTACTACTGGATATATAAAATTGTAATAATAAAATAACCAGTTACCTTGTACAATATCCTTTGGTGCTATTAGATGACGACCGGTTTCGTGACGACAATCACATCATCGGGTCAATCCTCGTAGAACGATTCGTTATAATAAATACATAAAGTTGTTACCAAAAACAAGACGAAAACACATTATATTTACAAAATATTTACCCACAGAAACCATCGCGATGCGTGCACGCTTATGTCGAGCCGGCCGCGACTGGAGTTCCGTCGAAGGTCAAGGTGACGTCATCTGCAATCAGCTGATCGGTGGTTTCTGGTTTCCTTTCTCTGTCTAATTTGATGATAGTGTCAAACAACTCCAGCGAGCACATAATAAACAACTCGTTCGCCTGACTATTGATTTTGTCATTTAAAATATGTTTTGTTTCTAATTTAAAGGCCTTATATATTTCAAAATTGTCGAGAGCTGTTGTTTTGGCTTTATTGTTGCATGTGTGAATTACTGTCAAATTTTCTTCGATCTTTGAATAGTTGTGGTTGCTACTGACTAGGTGTTCAGCGTAATTAGACTTTTGAGTCGGGGTGTTTTTTGGTAAATCTCTTTGTAAACCAATATAAAACCCGATATAAAGAGCATTTACCAAAAAACACCCCGACTCAAAAGTCTAATTACGCCGAACATTCCAACGAAACAACACAAAACAGCGTGGTTCTATTATGCACGAAATCCGTGTACGCTTGGAAATAGGTTGGCAACACTTAAAGATAATAATACTCTGAGCAGCTGATTGACTATTATAACTACGATTTCACCTGTCATTTCGTGTTTATAGTTTCGGTATTTCTGAACTTTCTGGACTTTTCTTTTAAACGTTTTTAAAACATTCCTACGATCTTAATAAACAAGAAAATACCTTTAGTAGGCGTGGAAAATACTTCAAATTGCAAAAACATACGGAACCATTTTCTCAAGTCGCGGAGCACATTTCTTGCCGAGGAAAAAATAGCGGAGTGATACGGACCGGGTACTACTTTCTCTAGGGCACCCATTTGTGTTGCCAGCTGAACCCAAAAAACCTGTTGTATAGTATTTGAAAGACTAATTATTTATATTCTTTTTAGTGATTCTAGGAAAAAATATAATGTGTAACACGAGTGCAAAAGGCCTTTGCTGCACTTGAGATCATTCCGCTCCCGTAAAGATTGCTCTCGTGTGCAGCAAAATGCCACTTTGCCCACTAGTTACACAAATAATTATTTAATAACTTCTTACAAATTGTATTGTTGTCATCTTTTTATAGTGCGATAACTACTGTAAGTCGATGGCAAAATGTTTGCACGATTTGTAGCCCTAAAAATACCAATAATATTTTATAGATACGACCGACATATTTAAAAACAGATTTGTAACATTTGTAGAGAATGATGATGAGAAATTCTGTTTGAATACCAAATGGTCAAAAGCTGCGTTCTTGTAATGTAGATTTAGTTCTGGATTTGATTTTTATTGACTTCCCAAGCGTTAGTTGAAATCTAATAATACAATCAACTATCAACAACATAACTTGAAGGAGTTCTTGTCAAAATCTTTTCAATATTGAGTATTGACTTTTTTACGCACTTTAAAAGAAACAAGGTGCATTTTTAAAACCAAAGTACTGGAATTTTATATTAACAAACTAGTACTAGAGTGATATACTCATAGTAACATACCATAACACACATGAAAAACATTGTACATTATGTATGTGTGTGTGTGAGCATAATGTACAGTGTTTCATAAAATAATATAACATTTTAGAAATACAGTTTCACGTAGTTGTTAGTTTTAGTACAGGTTTCTGCACAGTTGAATACATTTTAGGAGTCAGACTGCAAAAAATAAATAAAAAGCCTTAGCTTCGTTAATGCCTTACTGTTAATATATTGTCATGTAGATTCAATTAACATAGGATTAAGCCTCTATGCTTAAACTTCAACCTAAAAATATATTATTTTATCAAATATGTTTCTAGTTCTAAAGTATTATAGTATTATTTATATTATTTTTTTTTGTAATACAAATTATAAAACAGACAAACATATAACTTAATTTATGGCAAATGAATCAACTGTCAATTGGGTTCTCAATTATCATGAACCATAACATCCAGTATCCAATATGCAATCTGCTCGTTTAATTTTCTCAATTACATTATACACGTAACTAAGCATTAGTAATTTGAATAAAGGACATTGCTTATTGCCCACTGAATCAAATGTGGCTTGTAAATCGATGTCAGAAATGAATATTACATTAATTTGATTACTAGCGGAAATTATGTAATAGTCTATATGTATAAAGTCTAGCGGAAAATCATCTAATAAATATGTACGAAACGATAAATCACTAAATTGTATAATTATTTAGGGTTATGCATGTTTCCGTTCCTTGATATAATCTTATTTAATATTCATAAGATTTAGATCTTACGAATAATGTCATGCTTTGCTTTAACAGAATTTGATTAATAAATATATATAGGGAAAATAAACAAAAATATAATATGTATATAATGATTCGTGAATGAAAGTATTTAAGTACTTACAAAGAGAAATAATTATGAAAAACGTATCATACATAGCAAGCATTACCAAATATTGAACACCGTATAATGAGGATTTTTGTAATCTCAAACATTCACAAAGAGTTTAATTCATCCAACATATCTTGTGTTGCCTTTTGTTCCTGTTAAGAAGTGATTATCCAAACAGCTTTTCTTTGAAATAATTATGTACCGTACGACCACTACTCTTTTGAATACAAATCTAGAGACTGAGAAACAACGAACATACTTAGTAAAAAAATTCTTAAATGCTTGAATTCAAAAGTTTTCTCGAGAGTTTTTAACATTTACCATGTTAACTCAAAGACAGTATTGGGTAGTTGGATGTTTTATTTATATTTGTTGTTTATTATTAAAAATCTATACATAGCCAATGTTATCTAGTTTACAAAGAATCTTATAACGATTGAATGTAATTTGTATGGTGATAAAATATGTTTTTGTTGATAGAGATAATACAATATTGATTGACATAAATTATTTTATATGTAACTAATTTGTTTCATGCTATTAGCCTAGCTGGAAACCGAGATCTATGTTCAAGGTATTGAGCTTGCAGCATATACAGTATATACGCATGCAGATATTGTTTTAACCAGTGTTTTGTGTTTAAGTAATGCATTTAGTAAAATTCATACATATATTCTTTACACTGAATTGTTTTCCTCATGACATTTTGTAGAGCGTTGCAAAATGTCAAGTTTTAGCACATTTAAAGCGCCATCAGCCGATTTACAATGTGTAGTGAATATATAATGTTTTCCAGAAACTACAATTAAGTTACAAAGTTTTATTAATAAAAAGAAAAAATACTTTTCCTACAGTCACCCGAAAAAGTGTGCTACCTTGCAATGATTATAGTACAGAAAGCTACTAATTCCTGTTTTTTTTTTTTTTTTACTTTGCCGCAAACGTTTTACTTTGTCCCACAGTTTTTACTTTGTTGCACTGTATATTTATTTTGGCAAACACCAGTATAAAAAAAAAAAAAAATAAACAGCGTTCTTTTCTCATACACGTAATCTGTGTACGCTTAGAAATAAGTTGGCAACACTTAAAGATACTACGCGACTACAATCAGCTGTTGCAGTGTTTCCCATTTCGTTCAACGCTTGGATTTAGCCTAACCTTAAACGTGATGTTTAGTGTTTGAAAGACTATGCTTTGAATGTAGGAAAGATATAATTTGTAACACGAGTGCAAAGCCACTTCACCCACTAGGTACGCAAATAGCTTTTCTTCACGAAGATATATTTACACTAAGCACATTCTACTTCAATGAACATTCTGTAACGAATATCTCACACTTTGTGTTTAATGACACAAAGGATATTAATTGCAATTTGAAACTGTTGGTTACTCAACCAAAAATGGTTTAATCAAAGTCGCAAACGGACCACTATCACTGATGTGGCAAGTGTAATGTGACGAGGGAGGTAACTTCTCCCTCCCACATTTTGCTCGTATATTAAAATTAATAAACCCCTCCCTTCGCTACTCATATTCCTTTATCAAAAACGTGTTACGATATTTTACAGAAAATTAAATTGGTTGAAACCTTGACGTTTTGGTCGTATCCCACTTATGACTTAGTTAAGAGCAATATAACAGCTGAGTGTGTACTTATCACAGAATATAAGAGCTTGACCTTAATTTAAGACCAGTTTACATGTATTCAATTATTCGCCCGATAACTAACAATCCTCCTGATACTACACTAATTCAGCAATTACATCAGATTAAGGTTTAATCATATACTAGCATAGTGTGTCATGAGTAACCAATATTGCAGCTGCAGAATCCCTAGAAATTGTAAAAATGTCATGATATTTCTAGCTATTATTTTAAGCTGTACATTAAAACAAGACATTGATTGGTGACTCACTTGCAATCACTAAAATAAATATGAGAGTATTGTAGTCTTTGTCAATAAATTATTTAAAAAGTCTTTGTTTACTAGTATAACAAAGATTATGGTTGAAATTTGATTCTTCTAAGTTGTGATGAGATTGACAAAATCAATAGGAGACTACATCAACTTCTTAAACGCAAGACGAATTTATAACAAAAACTTTACTGACCTTCTTATTACTTTATTCAATATGTATCCCACATAGGAGACTCTGATGGGTGCTGGCTTCGATTCGTCCGTTGGTCGACCTGGAACACCTGGACCTAAAGGGGAACCGGGAGTGGACGGGGCTCCAGGACTGAAGGGCGACAGGGGGTTCCCGGGGGATAAGGGAGAAAGAGGAGAGGGAGGACAAAAGGGACAAAAAGGAGAGCGAGTAAGTATCCTTATAATTGATTAAAATTCAATATAAATTTATATTTTCAAAGCAATACATTTTAATTTACGTTCTTATCAATATTAATAAGGCATTAAAATCAAGCATATTTAATATAGGCCTACGTGTTTAGTATGAACTAAGTTTTGTACAACTTGAAATTCATTTTTGAGAATTTTTATATCAGACAAAAATTTATTTTATTCCACTATAATGATATTGTGTAGTTCTGTTGTGATAGGATGGTATTTTTTTTTAATTCAATTTAATATCTAGATCACTAACCTTCTTGATAAATACGTTGATACTATCTATTCATAAATTTTGTGACTGTAATATTTTTTTTATTTTTCTGCATTTTATATTAAAGATGCATACTAATTAGTGTTTGCATCTTACAATTTAAAGTATAAAAGAGCTTGAACACTATTTTTAGCTCTTTCCATCAGTTTTTATATGATACAAATATTTTGACCTATTAACTCTTTGACTTATAATATTGTATTTGTAAATAAAATTTGAAAAAAAAACAAATACCATGTTTATACTAACAAATTTAATTTATTACATAAATATTAGTTACTGAATTCAAGTTTTTTAAATTATAGATTATATTATAACACGAAATATTTTAGGTGATAAAATATAAATTGATGTTTCCTAAAATAAAGATTTTCCTCACAACTCATAATGCAAATGAACATATACAAAACTTGAAATACCATGAAGTATCCATATAGGTCCAATCAGTCTTATACAAGTTATATTATGAGAAAATTTAAAAATATAAAACATGTTATGTAATTATAAATATTTCTCTATTAAATAAACATTTTTCTCACAATTCTAAATGTAAATCAACGTATACATAACTTGAGATATCTCGATGTATACATATAGGTACAAAACACTTACTTAAGTTATAGTTAAAACATGTTAATTTAAGTATAAAAATGTGTATTTAATTTGTTTATATATTTTGAATATATGTATTTTGTATGACGCTATTTCAAATGCTGTTTTGATAACCATTTGTATATATTACGATGCACTCTTAACTGCACGGACGCAACTGTTGACTCCGGTTATTAATCTTTAAACAGTAAAAAAAAATACATAAAAATTGGTTGCTGATCAAATATTTAAAGAAATTATTGTAAAAAATAAAAATTAATATGCGAGTTAGAGAAGGAGCTGTGAATATTTTAAACTAAACCAATAATATTTAACGTTTAAGGATGTTTATTAAATGTGCAACATTCATTTTAAACTTTTAGGGCAAACATCCTCGGAATAAAACTGGTATTTTATTGTTTATGTGTTATAACAGGGGCATCAGGGACCTACGGGGGTACAGGGCTTCAAGGGAGAACCAGGTACTCCGGGTACAGAGGGGAGGCAAGGGATGCCTGGTGAAAACGGTCGTCCTGCCAGCAAAGGAGAAAAAGGTATGATAAATGTAAAAGTGAAAATTTTGAGATCTTTTTTAGTTTTAACAAACTCTATCATTGTCTTTGTTGTGATTTGATATTTTGAAATGTAAAACCATCCCAAAGTTAATTGGTTTAATTTCAAAGACAAGTGATCCTTTTGGTCTGCCATCATCCTTATCAGTTAGCTCAGCAAAAGGTTTTGTGACTGATGCTATATGTATTCAATAGCATTAAGGTCGATTCACACATATCAGTTCAGTCACAGTTCCGTTACAGTCCAGGCCCGTTTTGCCAGAAGCGTCTCGTGCGTCTATCGCTCAGCGATTATCGCTCCGCGTCTATCGCTGCCCACTGCTTTGCATTGTTTTAGGTTAGTCTATTTTGCCAGAAGCGTCTATCGCTACAGCCGCCAGCGTCTGCAACTGAGACGCTAGCGTCTGACGCGGACCACTGCTCCCGGAGCAGACGGAGACGCAGTCGCTAGCGATTATTACTGGAATAAGCACGTGTTTAGTTGTTGACTTAACTTTTGTTTCCTTAAATAAGTTGTGTTTTCAAGTTTAGTGACATGTCACTATCAAAGTGGGGATTTAATAGTGAAGAAGATGAAAAACTGAAAAACTAGATGACACTAGTGAAACTTGGTCTCATCAGAGCAAAGGTGATTTCCAATCAACAATTTAAAAAATCCCTCTTCAGGTCTCTTTAAAAACATAGTGCGCACTTCTTCCCTAGGTTTGACCCTTATTTCTAATATCTCTTCATCGTCTAATCCCTCAGCTAACAAATACTTTATACTATTTGCTTTTTACAGCTCATTTTCAGAAAAATTCTTTTCGCCACCAAAGTAAACCACTCACTGATCAAATAATCGCAAGAAACAGACGCTTCTGGCAAAATAGGCCCGAGCGATAGACGCTGAGCGATTATCGCTCTAGCGATTATCGCTAAGCGTCAGACGCACCAGACGCTTCTGGCAAAACGGGCCTTAACAGTTCAGTCTCAGTTGCATCCGCAATTATTTCTCTGTCAATAGTCCGTCGGTTTGTTTCAGTCAGTCTTCCGTCTCTAAAATTCACAGTAATTTACAGTCAAAAGTTTTAAATTATAAACCTATATTCCATCAAGTTTTCATTGTCCATCTTGTTGATTGTTACAAACAGTACTCAAAATATAAACACAACCATTTAAACACTTTTAACACTATTTTCTAACCTTAAACCGGTCCGTCAGTCGCCCGAACAATCCAAAAGTATCGGTGGAAAGAAATCTGAAATTAACTGACGGATGCCGGTAGAGCGACTGACGGGACTGCAACGGATAAGTGTAGATAGCTTAATAGAAAATCCATTAAAGAATATTTTTGTTAACTGTGACGTGCCTGAAGTAACTGGACTGTGACGTTCCGTAACTGATGTGTGTGAATCGACCTTTACTCCGTTGGTACGTTGCACTTTTTTGTTTTGAGGATAACATTTGAATGCTTGTATAATAAAAAAAAATCACTATTTCTTAAAGGTTGTTGTTTTTTGTTGTGATTTGTTTTGTTTCTGACGTGCTTATTTATACATACGAGAGGTCGTCCAGTGGTCGAAACTCGACCAAAAATATGTAATGTACTCACTTATCTATTTTCACCCCACACTGTAAATAAAACATGTGATTGGAGTTTCCTCCATTTGTTTTGATTTTCTGTTTATATTTCGTTGTTATTTCGTAACCAGCATAGCAACGCATAAGATCCATGTTAATTTTTTCAAATTTTTAAACTCATTTTTTGTGCTTATCTTTGAGCCTATTTAAATTTATAAAGGGATTCTGCACACCTACAGGAAAATAGCTTTCCAACGGTATGCGTAGATTTTCCCTACGATTCACACGAGCTGAGAAAAAAGGTTTTAAAGAAACATGCTTGCCTATTAATATATAGATAGATTTGCCTCAGTGATGTATCAAACCTAGTAAAATAAATTTTACCATTGTTAATTTGCTGTGCAAAATAATGTGCAGTAAATATTCTGAGAATAAATCCATTCATGATACTATGTTTCATGGCAGAATAGAATATTTATTTTATTTTATTTTTTGTCCAGGTGATTCAGGGACCCCAGGACCCCCAGGTCCCCCCGGTCCACCAGGAGTTGTTCCCGCAGGATTTGATCTGGAACTGACAGGATCTGGCCTGGGATCTGCTGCAGGTACTGACCAACGGAAATATTATCATTGCAAATTAGTAGGACTATAAAATGTATTAAAATCGTATGTTATTGGTAAAGTGGTTACAATGGATATCATAAAGACTAGAATATATCCATTGTAAACAGCACATACATGTACATACATCATCATGAAGTTCAAGCATATTGTTTTCCCTTGTTTTACTGCTGCTATTTGTACCTATAACAATGATCAAATAATAATAAAAAAAATAGATAGCTAAAAATGAACTACGAAACAATGCATTATTTTAATTCAGTGTTTCTGTAACTGTTAAAGAATTCGGTATGAAAGGGGAGCCAGGACCAAAAGGAGAGAAGGGTGAATCTGGTGATAAGGGAGACAGAGGTGAGCTGGGCCCAAGCGGTCCATCTGGAATACCTGGATCTGTTGGATCTCCGGTACGTAACAGTATTTTCTGTTTTCTGTGTTACTAAAAATGTTGTACACAGTTAGATTAACTATATATTGTCAACTTTAAATTCGATTTCAATTTTTTTCACAAATCAATATACAATGATTAAGTGAATAATTAATTGATTTAACTTTCTTTTTAAATAAATGTGTTTCGATTACACAAATTAAGCTTACTAGGTTGATATCTTATGGTCTTATGGTTTGTACACATTTTAGTAAAGCATTAGATTCTAACTAGGTCAGCGTTTTCACTTGGAATAGCAAGAAGTAATATTATTTATTTCAACACCTAATCATTTATTTATAATTTAACTTTTTACCACGATTTTTGTAATAGAAATTTGTACATCTTTTACAAAAGTTAACACACTCCTACCAAATCTTACATGTGAAGATTCTTATTCGAGATGAAAGAGCGTGAATGGTTCTATTACATCCACCCTTTCACAAGACATGAATGAAACTGAAAATGTATTGATATAGAAACACTCGCAAAAATCCTTACGTGAAATTGTATTTTGTTGATATTATTTACAATAAAATAATGGTTTGAAAAGAAAGCCTACTAGCTTCTGTCAAAATGAGATCACAACGATAAAAGTGTGCAATAACGCTTTTATAATATTTGAAAAAAATTTTAAACATCCATGCTTTTAAAGTACCTATCATATGCCATCCATTCTATAAAACCAATATTAAACATTTTAAGTTGCAATTTTGGCATTACCCAAAAATATCAATAACACCAAGGGAGTCCGAACAGAATAGAATTTGCGTTTATTAAACACTCTAAAGTCGAAAGAAAGATTCTTAATATCAGAATAACTGTGACATAAGTAAGGAACAGCTGACAAAGATGTGATATCTCTTGGTATTGCATCAAAGTGTTTCACATCACAGAGCTGCACATTGCAGTCTGCCAATCTTCTAGACTTCATTCACTCTCAGCATATGTGTTCGGCTCACTCTGTTTTCTGTATTCAAAGTCTCCTTTTGTGTTTCCAAGCTAGAGTTTGTTTGAAAACTTAGAAATACGGTCACTGAACATCAAAACATTTTATGTAAAATGTTTAGATACATAGTAAATTAAATTATCTTGGTTGAAATAGTTGACGTTATACATAGTAAATGATTCTGTATTTTTATTTATGAGTGAATTAGATATAGTATAGTGTGTTTAATTTTCCAGACACTTAATTTTAAATTAATTAAGGTAAAACTATGTGTTGGATTATATGTGTTGGATTATATTAGATTCAAATTATTAGTAAAATTAAATACAAAATGTTTACGTTTGCATGTTTTTACAATAGGTAATGGAACTCCTTCAATCATAAAGTCTCTAATTTCTGGTTGTATGATGTATTTATATTCATAACCATACCGTAAAAATATATTTCCTTTCATAACTAAGAATAATAAAGGAATTAACACAAAAAACTTTTACTTTAAAAACAATCTGATAGTTTCCATTTTGATAATGACATCGTAATGGACTATCGTCCAGTTTCAATTTTACCAACTCTATCAAAGGTTTTTGAAAAAATAGCATATGAACAAATGTACTCTTTTTTTGAAAATAATAATTTGTTTACAGATAATCAATTTGGCTTTAGATTAGAAAAAAACACAATATCAGCTGTCTCTGATTTCATCAATCGTGTGTCGAGGGGCTTGGATGGATCTCAGAGTACTGCAGCAGTGTTCTGTGATCTGTCCAAGGCGTTCGATTGTGTGAGCCATGATGTATTAAGTAATAAACTGAAATATTATAACTTCTCTGATCTGGCACTGTCTTGGATACAATCTTATTTAAAAAACAGGCAACAGAGAACTGTTATTAAGAAAAATGGTAAACATTTCATTTCAAAATGGCAAACCATCGATTGTGGTGTACCCCAAGGATCAATTTTAGGTCCCTTGTTATTTTTAATATTCATAAATGATGTTCCTAACAATGTATCATCAAACCTAATATTATATGCTGATGGCACTACAGCTATAGTAAAAGCAAATGATGTACATACTCTTAGATTAGAGCTTGATCGTTCCATTGTAGACTTAACTAGCTGGTTTGCGGCGAATGGTTTAAAACTTAATAATTCTAAAACTCATAGTATGCAATTCCAAACACTACAAAATAAGCAAAACATAATTTTTGAATTACCATATGAAAATGATATTTTAGCTTTTGTCGAACAAACAAAATTTTTAGGCTTAAATATTGATAAACATTTGACTTGGAAACATCACATTGAAATATTAGCTAAAAAATTACATACAGCTTGTTTCCAGATGTATGTTTTAAGAAACATAATAGATTCTAAAACAAAGGTCATAGTTTATTATGCCATATTTTTTTCCATTATGCAATATGGTATTGAGTTATGGGGCTCAACATCAAATGCCTCAACTATTTTTAAGATACAAAAGAAGTTTTTAAGAATCTTATCATTTACACGCAAAAAAAAGTCATGTAAACCGCTTTTTGAAACATATGGAATGTTAACAATGCCTTCACTTTACATTTATAAAATTCTGGTATACTTCAAGAGAAATGCACAATTATTTATAGACAATCAATTTATTCATCAATACCAAACACGTTCAAAAAATAATTTGCAGTATCCAAGACATCGGCTATGCCTGTATGAAAGATCACCGTACTACATGAGTCTGAGGCTTTACAACCGTCTACCTGCTCATTTTAAAAATATCAATAGCATTGTAAAGTTTAAGAAAGAATTAAAAACATTCCTTATAAAAAAGAAATATTATTCAATAGAAGAGTATTTAAATGACTGTTTTTTAAAAAAGTTACTAGTTTAATTTTAATCCTTAGTTTTAATTTTTATTTTTGTAAGCTAAGAAATGACAATGTCATCTGTTTCACCAGCTTTGCTGGAAATGTGAAATGTTTTATGACAATAAAGTGATATTATTATTATTATTATTATTATTATTATGGAAATTATTATAAATAATTGTTCAGGTATAACCTTTGGGGGGATTGACGAAATATTACAAGAATGTCTTTTATGAAAGATTCCTAATATCTCAAATAGACTTACTTTTATAACAGTATTTCTCCCTCTTAGGGTCCAGCAGGTGAGAAAGGTGAACCAGGCTCTCAAGGACTCACGGGTCCTCTTGGACCGGTGGGATCCAAGGGAGAGAAAGGGGAGCGAGGACCTCCAGGTACAGCGATGTCAGGAGAGGAGGGAGAGTTGATCACAGTCAAGGGAGAAAAAGGGGAAAGAGGCAAAAGAGGAAGAAGAGGGAAACCAGGACCTCCGGGGCCGATGGGTCCTTCGGGAAAACCAGGTCCTATTGGGGAGATGGGTATTCCTGGATTTACGGTAAGTGTATACGCTGTTTAGCGTTCAGTTCGACAGTTTGAAGTCAAATATATAACAAAAATACATGGTTTCTACCTCATATTAATATCTTTACGCTAGGCTTTAGCCCATAATCCCATTAATTTAAGCTTTTCCTAGGTAACAGTCGCTATATCACTTTGAAATTAATTTGTTGTTGACAATCAGCGGGATTTGAACCCATAACATTGGGGAACAGTGCTTTCTTTCTACAATAGATTGGTCCCCTTACAGTTCGCTCCCTATATTTGAAATGGTTAGGTTCATAGAGACAGAACAAGAGCAGTGCGCAACATGCAGCACGTTATCTTCCTACAAACAGTAGTTGACTTTAGTTATTCCTATTTCGTTACAGCCCTGAATGGAATCACAAGTCTTTTGAGTCTAAAAATGAAACGAATAGCAGGAATATGCAGTTTTTGTGTTTGGTGCATGTCTTCTCCAGAGATGACTTTTCTATAAGAAGGAAGATGATATTTTATCTGTGAACAATTATTGTTATGTATAATATCCATATCAAATCAAATGTACTGTCCATATGTTCATTTAATAACATAATGCAAATGTATTTTTTCATGCATCGATTGGACTCCAGAAGAATGATGTACGTATTTTTAGGAGGCTATACATTTATTTTGTGAACTGGTGTTGGGTCGATTATAAAGAAATACTCAAATTTGTAGTTTTCACACACCCCAAGTCAAGTAAAATGTGCCAAATATACTTTGCAATGTGTTACTCTGTATTGATTTACTGTAAAACCATTACATAGTTCAATCTGATTTAGTCATGTCAAGTCGTTTTAAAATGTGTATGGGCCAAAAATTGATTCGCCTTTTTACGAGAATAAGTTAACTGCACTGCATATATTTCACAGGGGCTCCCTGGTAGACCAGGATTGCCAGGAGAAAGAATGATAGGCCCAAAAGGAGATAAAGGTGAACCTGGACAAGTTTTAGACGTGGTAAGTATGATGTTATAATAGTTTCCATAAAATATACTAAAGTATTATAAGTGATAAAAATTATATTTAGTTTACACATCTAAAAGTAAACTGTCAACTGAACCAAGTCACTGTATAAGTTTTTACGTGATAACTTAAGTGATATTCAGACTATCTTAAATCGGATATAAATTGGGCCTATGCTACAAAAAAATTCCTCATTATTGTTTTAAGATTCGTCTTCTTGTTTCCACATAGTTCAATGGTCACTTTCTTGGTCCGTATTGTAATTATGTTTTTTTTTTTACATCACATTATCATCTACTGAATCTGTTTTACTAATTTGGACCAATTAAGTACTTAAGTAATTAAGTACACTTTATTGTGGAAATCAAAAGTTAGAAAATTTGCATAATCCTGTAGCCCCAGCATCGTGAAAGATTCCTATAGGTAACGACTCAGTTAAGTATTCCCCTAGCTAGAGGCATACGTGTACCAACTATTACAAACAATAATTTTCAATAAAAAGTAATTTGTTTTACTAACTTAAAAAAAAACACAATGCTCTCAAATCTGTATACAAGTAGACTTTATCGAACTCAATTTCAGATAAAAGGTGAGAAAGGAGACCCTGGCATGGATGGTAAGGCAGGACCCCCAGGCCCTCCTGGAATGCCGGCCCCTGGGGCAAACACGCAATACCTTCCTCTACCAGGCCCGCCCGGGCCCCCAGGCCCCCCTGTAAGTAACTTAAAAGAGCAGCTACTATAATTTTATTTTAAAAACAGAATATAAAAACCTTTAAGATTGCCACAAAAGTGTTCCAGATATTTTACCTGTGGATAGCTAGTAACGTAGTGTCCATGACAAGATAAGGTGAGGGGCCACAATACGTTTGCGTTTAAGGGTATGTAGAGGTAAAAACATAGTTTGATCAAGTATCAATAGTGTCTTTTACGTATTTACTTGAAATCCAGTGATCATGGAAAGTATTTTACGTTGTTTTCCATTCGTCTCTCATTTTCTGTCAATGATATTTGTTCACTTTCTGTTAGTTTTCTTTATGTTTTCTCCGGCGATTACTTGAACTGTTATTAAACTGGATCTTATGTTTTGATAAATATTGATTTGTAATCCATCATCTATTGTTGCGCTGTTTTGTATATTTTTAACTTGGTTATTCATTATTCAATGTTGTGGTTAACTTTTGGTTAACGTAAGCTTTCTAATGAAATCATTGCTTTACACAACTAACTGTGATCCTATTTAACTGCTTGTTATCCACAGATAGATGTCTGCACACAACTTACCTATCATTATATTTCTTAATTGGCTTACACTTTGGATCAAATTTAAAAAAAAAACCAAACCCTAACTAAATAGGATCCATACTTTTGGATTTTGGCCTTATTATAAGATATACCCTGGAGATAGCGTGTTCGTATATCGTTTACTTACACCACTTATTTACCCAGGGACCTCCTGGAATGCCGGGGATTGGCACGAAGGGAGAGCCTGGACCCCCGGGTCCTCCTGCAGGCAGACATGTGTACGGGGAAGCGGTCCATCATCCCAGACAAGGTAGGCTGTTGAAATATACATTGGATAACTTTGTGTCAATAAATTCTGTGGTTGAGTTAAAAGTATAACTTATTTAACTAAAAGAGATTACGTGTGGAATGAAAAATATTTTGTAGTTAACAAAAGAATGGGTTTATTGGTTTATTGTTTATTTTTGTTTAGCTTTCAATGTTCGCTATCATTTCAGTCTAAAACTTACTTCAAAATTGATGTTTCATGTTACGATATGGGTACATAAATTATTTAATGTACCTTAATTCCGAAAACTATTCAGGGTATTTTAAGTTATCTTTCAATATCATCGAACAGGTAATAGTATTAGACACATACAACTTTATAATCAATCTTAACACCACATACAAATCTGCAGAATAAACCATAACATTTAACATTTTACACGCTGCAAGGACACCGTGGAAGTTTAGACGAACTCAAGGCTCTTAACAATCTCCACGGCGCGAGAGAAAAGTTTGAAAGTGAGTTACAAATTTGTTGCTATTATATGCAAACCAATAGATCAAAATTATAACTGTCATCATTATATTCAATATAGCATGACATGCTGACATAAACCGCTAGTCTGGAACATATGTTGACTTAACACCATCCTAGACTCCTAAAACGCATTTAAGTTCCTTTATATTTCTTTGGTAGCTTGAAATGACAGCCTTTCTTTAGTAGGCCTAAACATTTGTGTTAAATGTATGTACATTTTTCTATGTTATATAATTTTAAAAACAATAACGAATTATAGCTTTAGTAAAAATATCAGTATAACCAGGTGTCAGAACACAAATATTTCGTATATTTTCCAAACAACAAGTATTTATAAATTACTTATCTTTTGTTAATTCAACAACCTTATATCATGATGTTTTTAAACAGGTTCCTACAAAACGACAGAGGCAGGAAAGGACGAAACTGTAAGGATAGTGCCTGGAGCAGTCACCTTCAAAACATTACAGGACATGGCCACGGTATTGTATTTACTGAGAAACAAACTGGCAAACAAATATTTTGAGGAGAAAACAAAACATTTTGAATGTATGTTATATTAGGCTACATACTTTACGTAATTTTACATTCAAAATTATTCATAATGTGAATTAGATTAACCAATATGATAGTTATTATTATATTATTTTGACGATGATTGTTAATAATCAGTAATATTCCTAACTTTATCTTATGCCTTTGCATTTTCAGACCTCACTAATGTCACCAGTGGGAACGCTAGCATATGTTATAGATGAAGAAACTCTCCTTGTGAGGGTCAATAACGGCTGGCAGTATCTTCTGGTACGTATTTTTATATCATATGCAAACGATAAAAAAACACAAATAATTCCAAAAGATCTAACCTTGTTATATTCACTGTATGTTTACCTGTTATATATCCGTATCGTAATATTACAAAATACGGTAAGCTATCATATGACATTTAGAATACCTTAGTTTGTACGTAACGTACATGATTAGTATTTATATATATTATAAAACTGAGGATTATTGGTGGTTTATGCTATTCCAACCTTTTTAACAAAATACTTTAAAATACTTGTATGACTTTGAATAGAACAAATCACTCCATTTGACGTTACAGCAGTTTTTGTGCTTTACATATGCTAAACAAGTCTTTTTCATCACTCTGTGTTCGAAAATAGCCCATTTTTGTACAGCTGAGATCTTCAAAAATCGTTAACTTCCATACACCAAAAACAAATAGTGATCAGTTGACTTTTCCTGACTTAACATTACTTTCACTACACAAACAGTACTTTTTCTAACATCAACAAAGTTAGAACTGAAGTTCCCGGTTAACTTAAAAGGAGCGAACACCATTGTGTTTTAATTAAAAATGCATAACAGAATATTGATTTATTAAATTTTTATTAACAGAGTTTATAACATGCATTAATATCAAATTTAGACTAGTTTAAATAGTTAAGAAGCACAATTAAATCTGACATAACATAGAAAAGAGAGCACTGATTATTTGTAATATTAATAATTGTAACGCTAACATTATAATTTGTACACCCGTATTTTGTTAAGATTAGAAAAACTAATAGATTACGAAATATCGGATATTTTTTTCAGTTTGATGAAATAGTTTTGTTTTATTGGGATAAAAAGTATCGTTCAATATTCATCACGAAAATCCCATTTCGGGGATTGTCTTCAACTCGCATGAAAAACACTATTTCACCCCGAAATGGGTCACTTTCGTGACTAGTGGTGAAATATACTATTGTTAGTATTTAAGTGTAATATCAATAATAGAGACAATCTGATAGATGGAATTATCTGACATTTAGACTGTCGCATACTCTTTAAATAGCTCATTTAAAACAAAATATAATTTTTGTTTGAATTTAGTACATTTTAACAGCAGGTTCCAAATAGGTCTACTTCAGTATCCGAAAGCCCATGATTTTACATAAATTGAGTTGTATGGCATTGCTCTGAGTTGTATGGCACCAGCGACACGTGCTACGAGGTAAATTCCTGGGTGTTTTATTATTTATTTTACTTCCTCCACAGCTTGGACAGCTGGTGCCCATCAGTCAGGAGCCTGACGTTGCGCCTCCACCCTCCGTCCCCGTGGAACATCCCAGACCTCCCCCTGAGGCGTCCAACCTCGTATACCACAACCTGCCTATGGACAGCCCTGACATCAGTGTGGTGAGTAACATGCCTCTAGAAAGTGTTGAAAAACTGTCATATTTGATCCTTCTGATTTTAGTTCTATTTCGCTAACTGTATTTCTTCCTATTAGATATCATTATTATTTTAAGTATCTAAGCTATTTCTTACGTATGTTTGTGTAAAAAATATCTACCTAATGAAAAGGTATTTGTTGGTAATACGTAATAGATATGCATAGGAATTTATTCGTTAAAAGATTTATTGTTCACAGTAAATTACAATATTTATGATAATTTAATAATACTAATGGATAAGATATAACAAATTACTAAGTAATTTCTTCACGAAAGCTTTGGAACGTTCCAAACATAACAACATAGTTTGCAACATAACTTGTAACATTAAAATAGTAAACAATTCTTCTAACACGTTTTTGTGTTGTGCTGCCAAGCCCGAGCCTAGAGTGGTAAGTAGAAAATAATAAAAACAAGTATACCAAATATTTCATAAACTAATTTGGCTTTAAAATCCATTTACAAATTCAAGGAGTTTTAGATTGGTTTATCTGAATCATCAAATACATATGCAGTGGCTAGGTTTGTGAATGAATGAATGAATGAATGAAATGAATGAAATAATATTTTATTTCCCATAAATTATATACATATAATTACATTGTATTTTTTTTTACTTAAATATAATACAGCAAACATTACTAACTAGATAACAAAAAAAAATTATATTCTGTTGAAATAAACGAAAAATGTGCAAAAAAAAATACCTTCTATAACAAAGGGAAAACTCTACATAGGCAGGGCCTGTGCGTAGATTCGAGTTGCGAAAAAGGTTAATTTAGATGGGAGGTAAAAAAATGTATAGGAAAACAAAAAATAATTCGTATAATTCTAAATTTAAAAAAAAATTTCTTGCTTGAAACTGAATGTAGTGTTCTTCTGTGAATTAAATTGACGATAAAAAACTCTTTGTAAAAAACTGAGAAAATTTATAAAAATCTGGTGAAGATTGAAGAGGAGTTGTATTTGCGACATTGAAGCATTAACCTTTGCTTTTGTATAGGGACACGTTCATAGAAACAGTACGTTGTCTGGATTATTCATTTATTTATTCTACCATTCAAGTCGTTCCCTTGGGCTCTGGAGAAGAGTATATTGATTATATTGAAGATGATTCAACTTTCGTTGTAACATTCAAACAGTATTCACTCTCCCTGATCAATGTCTAGATGAATTGAATTAGCTTTGATTAAAACTTCCAGTATTTCATTGACCTTATGGTTTATTTTTGTTCAGCTGCGTCTAGCTGCCCTCAACGAGCCCTGGTCCGGTGCCTTGGGCGGACAGCGAGGCGCAGACTACGCCTGTTACAGACAGGCGCGGAGGGCGGGGTTGGGCGGAACTTTCAGGGCGTTCCTGACGTCCAGGGTGCAGGACCTGGAGTCTATAGTACGTGCCTCCGACAGGGGCCTGCCAGTCGTCAACATCAAGGTAGGTCTCCACTATATGCTGTGTCACCCATAATAGATTGTTCAAATTATTATTTCTTTACTGAAGATATGCAACTAAATGAACTTAAATGGTAACCTCCTCACCAGGCAATATAACAAGCTTGAATTAAAGCTTTTTTTAACCAAACAACAATGTGCATAGTAATTTTATTTTCCATACATCATTGTTACTATTGTTATAAAAATAATATTATTTGTGTGTTTAGGGAGATGTTCTTTTCAACTCGTGGAAGGAGATTTTCTCAGGAGATGGCGGGTACTTCTCCCAGCCTCCTAGAATATACGCCTTCAATGGCAAAAATATTATTACGGATATAAACTGGTAAGTAACTTTTGTATGGTTAAAAAGTTAATTAATTCGTATTTTCACAAAGTGAAGATATATTTTTACATTTTAGGCTATATTTGTGGATTGTTTTCTTAAAAACTATACATCATAATTTTTAGGTTTAGAGTAAAACCTCTGGCCACATTATTCAGTAGCATTAGCTTCTTAACGAATACCACGCGTTTTTCTAACAGCTAAAATTATAAAGGTTTACAATTATAAACATATTGCAGTCGATTGGGTCTCATTATATTTAGATATACACTTCAATTAATAAACATAATTTACAAACTAAGTTTTTTAAAGAACCAAATACAAGTCTAAATCATATGACTTGGCTGCCTATTTTACCTATATTGCATTAGTTGTTCAACGTGGTCAGAACCAATTCCATAAAAACCTCTACAATATGTACAAGAATAACCACTAATAGTCTAGTATGTAGCGGAGATGATTGATGGTTAAGTTAATGAGAAATCATACACTTAACTACACAATATTTACAATTAACTGGGAAGAGCCATTGAACAAATGTGTAATGATATAGAACTCCTGAATCCAGCTCTGAACATTGAAATGTTGACTCAACCTTTTCTTCAAACCCATCTGCCTTTACCATAAAACCGTCTCCCTTACTTAGCCACTTTAACACAAAAGATACATGTAAATTCTTAAATACATGTATAGTCTAGCAAATATTTCATTTACGTTGTTAAATGAGTCCAGCCTTGTACAATATACGGAATGGGGATACAGGTTACACGGTGGTTTCACTTTATCATTCAAGCCCTCTAACCCATTGACTTTTCTAGGCCCCAGAAGTACTTCTGGCACGGGTCGCGCCCCTCCGGCGAGAGAGTACCGGAGTCGTCCTGTGGTGTTTCGGAGACCGACGACCAAGGCAAGTCTGGACTAGCGACATCGCTGCTATCAGAGAGACTGCTAGGCCAGGAGTCGCTATCGTGTAGTCACAGGTTCGCCGTGCTGTGTATAGAGGTCGCAAGCAGCTCCAAGCGACGACGTCGGTCTAGTGCGGACGAATAAGTAGACTCTGCCTAGTGCGGAACCTTTTGTACCGATGCGTTTTGTACTTTTTTATTTGTTAGGTAGGCGGAATTTAATTTAGAGCCAGTATTAGTTTCGTAATTAGATTGTTTTTAAATAAAATTTTAGAATAAGTTTTATATAAATTTAAATAATTTATTCGCAGTAATCTGACAAAGTTAACTCCATATGAAAATAATTTTGTCATAGCAAGAATACATTGAATTTAGTTTTAAACTATATTTTACCCAATATTACAAAACATGGGCTTTGTTAATATTTTACAATTGCAATCGAAAGTGAACAATTTTATTTATTATCTAGCTACATTTTATCCGATTATTTCATCATTATTTAAAAAGTTTATACAACGGTTCTCGACCTAAAACCATTTCTAAACAAAGCCTAATTAGTTGTGTAGGTTAACCTTAATTTATCCCCTGTTAAGTTTCATTTATAAATACATTGTATTAAACGTAAAAGACCACTAATAACACCAAACTACACTGCGTCTATGGCAGCTTTAAAAAACATCACCAATTAATACGGTTTTAAGTATTTAATTTTAAGTTTAGGTTCACGTGTAAATATTATTTAAGGACATATTGTATATACAATTGGTCTGTCTTGGACAGGTGTTAAAGAAGGGTTTAGTTTTAACATGTTTTAACACATTTGACCACCGTTTTACTTTAAAGTAAATTTCTGCTAATTTAAATATGCATTTGGAAACTTTATGTATCTTTATGTAATGTTTTAATATGTATAAAGTGTAGAGTTGTTTTAGGTGATTTTGAACTTTAAAATGGTGCCAACTAGATTTTGTTTAAGATATAAAATGTATAAACCGTATGTGTTTCGATACCATTATCTAAATTTTGACTTGATTGTGATGACTGGAATATGTACATTTCTGTTAAAATAAATTTGTGATTGTTTTTTATATTGTTTAAATTGTATTCCCGAGCAATTTGAATTAACTTTTCTGTTAAGGTCTTGCATGAGACGAAACAAGATACGAATAACTGTAGTGTAATTTGTATTACTAAGAAGGACAGAAAAGTCTGAGGAGAGATCCTTAAATCTCTACTAAATACAACTACTGTATGTAAAATATTTGCTATATCAACATAACTCTCTATGCAAATATGTCATAAATAATTATGAAATAAAGCATAACACAGTAGAGCATACATCAAATGATGGGCTGAGAGATGATTGCACATTTACAAATAATACAATGATTCGAAGCCATACAAACATTTAGTGTTACAACATTAACACCAACACCTTTGAACAACATTAACTCACCATCACCAACAATGAACTTCAAACAAAGAATTTAGTGTTAACAACACAATTGTATTAATACTGTGTAGTAATAGTGTGTTACCTAAACATACGAGCAATTTTACAACTTACAGTAGTAATAAAAATCAAGCATATAATTGCAAAACGTAAATGACATTTTCACCACACTATGATGTTTTTGGCTGTATTACATAGGCCCTACGTTAATGACTGACCAAACGTCGTTACTGAGTCTCGACTTCGTCTCAAACTTAAAAACTATCTCGAGCCGTCAAAACCTCATTTTTGGCCCTAGGTACGAAATATACTATTTCGGATTAAACAGGATATTCGATTAAAACAAGTGTTTGGATTTCAAATTAAAGATTTAACCAATCGGAAAAAAGGTTACGTGTTAAGAAGAGAAGTTTCACAGTTTACCTCAAGTTTTTGCATCATGCATAAGCTGAGGAAGGGTGATTTCTTTTTAAGGGCCTCTTAACGTACCTTGCTAAAGTCAAAAGTTACTTTCTCGATGATAAATAAACAACTCGAATTGTTCTACTATGCTCCTAAACAAAACTCTCTGACCTCTTAACATAAATATTATATTGACTTAAAACTGACTTTGATAATATATTAACTATTAAGCCAAATTATCCTGACGTTAAGTAGGACAGTTAAATTATGTTGCGTTATAAGTATTTAGCTTAATACTTGTTCTATCAACATGTCCTTATATTTAACAGTTTCATTATATGTCTTTTTCCGTAGGAAGGAACGTAAGAATACCATGGAAGGAGAAATTTTGATCTTTTAGAAAAAAACTTAATAAATAGCTTTTTTATCATAACATAATGGCTGTTGTAGAATTTAATTACAAGTCATCGGTAATCCGTCAATGAAAAGAAAAATAACTACATCACTAATTTTATTATTGTTAATTTGACCGTCCTGACAATTTTGCAGAAAAAAAGAGAGATTCGATCTCATGATTTATCTTAATCAGAACTATAAATCATAAAACAAACTCCCTATTAAATTAATATAATTTTTTATTGTTATTTTTCTTTATAAAGAAAGCGGTGGAAAATTCCTCAAGTATTTTATTTTTACAATATATTTTTTTTATAACTGTAAAAACTTCTATAGTAAAATAATTATAACAATAAATTCTATGGATTCTCTTCTAAGAAATAACGTATCTCAGGTTTATTGTTGGTGCCAGCATTTATAAACGGACAAAACATTCTTTGTGCTTCTAAGGTGTCGTCATCAACTTGAATTTTAACATCCGAATAAAAAGAGCTTCAAAACACAACAACTCAATTTAGGACTGAGTTAAACATACTGGATTAGTGAAAGAACTAGTCCATAAATCCTACAGGTAAGCCTGGGACTTTTACATGTCCAACTAAAACCATTTCCATGTCATACCACATGTATACGTTGCTCGTCTACATTAGCCTACGTTGAAAGGACTAACAAGGTTTAAAACTAAAAATCCATAAATTTATTTATTAAATTATGTTATAAGTACCTTACCAGTAATAATATACGCATTTTTGTTATAAATTCCATAGTCAATGTTTATTCATTTTATAAATAAAGAGCTTTTTTACAGTTTAGTGTCGATAATAAAGAACCACTTATTACATTCATTCATGGTGTATTGAAAAACTTGTAAGGCATCTTGACGAAATAGAAACTGTATTAAATCTCTTGGGGTTTGTAAACTTAGATTAAAATAAAGATTAATAATATTTTTGAAAACTAACAATAAAAATATTATCTTAACGTAATATGAAGTTGGTTTTCGTATTCTCCTAAATGGATTAAAAAGTTAATTTTCCAAAAATAATTTAAAAGTTATTTTTTATCAATGCATGGAACTATTGAAGTTTATTAAAGACTGCAAAGATCAAAACGCATTTATGAAAGAGGTAATTATAAATGTAATTCTTACATAGAAAATAAATTCGTTCTTTTTTATTGTTGCAAACTGCAGTGCTGAATGTTTGCAAAGCACTTGAGATGAGAAGTTTTATATATTGGTTTCGTTAGCTTAGAATGAAAGATTGACGGAATGTTTGCTTCCTAAATATTATTAACTTAAAGATTCTCTCTAGATTACTAATCTTTGGTCCATATTTGCAAAAGAACTGCACATAAGGTATATTCCTACGAAATTTGATAGGCGATTAAAATACCCAATTGCTGGATTGTAAGATTTTACTAGTACAAATGGGAGACATACAATATATTTTAAGATATTAAACAATTAAGTGACTTAGGCAATTTTATTTAGAGGGTCGCATTCTTTTTGTCTATCAGTAAAAGTTATTCATACTATCAAAACCAACAATCACTAATTGGAATTATTTCTTACTCTAATTGAGCTTACAAATTAAGTTGTCAATCCATAGCACAGCACTAACACAATCCCAACAAACAGTTAAGTCAACTTTCGGTTATTTAAATGTTTATTTTTCAATTTAAAATTAGTATGTTTGGTTGTTTTTATTGTGTACCATTGACATTGCGTTATACAAGTCAAAGTACATTGTTTCTGTCTAATTAATAACGACTATAACAGCTGTGTTATAAGTCAGCTGACAAAAGGACTGTCGTTGAGGACGTTCAACACATCCTTCACAAGAGAGACAATAAGAGTCCTGAATTATGCATGAACTTCTTGCCTCGAAATTAAATTTGGAGTCTTAGTACTTTGTAGGACCGTAGAAGACTTGTAATATGTCGCCAATGTTTAATTTTTTGATGAAACTGCATTGCAAGTGTTTTGTCGCTATATTTATGAAGTTTTTGAATTTTTTGAAATAACAACTAAAATAAAAAAGCAAACATTTTTTTCTTGAATGAAATATTAATAACTGAAGCACTTTAACCCTTTAAATGTTTCTAAATGATTGATTTTCTTAAATTGTTGTACAGATTTTATTGGGGTGAATCTTTTAATGGAAAACCTATTTAAGTATTTCACTTCAGTTTGTTTCCAAATACGTTGGCAAAAATGTTAAGTTTCACTCCAAACTGATAGAAACAGCATTTAAACACAGGTAATATAAATAATGGTTTATGTTAGTTACAGATCATCATGGAAATATGTTTATAAACAATATATCATATTATATTACATTTGTACAATAGCTATAGTTGAGTTTGAATACAGATTTATTCATAACATTTTTCTTTTGTAAAATATATATTAAACGGCTGTCACCAATTTATAGCTTTCCTAGCACGCAGTTAATAGTTTTTTTTAATCTTTTTATCACCAGTTTTGAGGAATGTATTACACTCTACAGCATAACAGGTTGTCCAATTACTAAAAATTTAAAATCGTCAGTATTGCAATATATTCAAACTGAACTGTATCCATTTTCAGCTTAGCATTGTTTCAGAACCATATACAGAAATAGGATATAGCTTAGAAAATGATGAATACCTAATTAAACCCATTCTATCCAGTCACAGTCTATACAAATTTAATGTCGATAATTCAAAAGCTCCCTAGAGTAACATTAGAAGCGTCTACGACCCCAAAGCACATGTTTCAGAAAGTTTCTCAGAGCTAAGATTATGAAATCTCCAAACATGGCTCCAGGGAGGTTATTATTCACTAGCAAGATAACACGTGAGGCAGTTTCTAAGGTCCTCCTGACTTATCGTTGAGTTTTTTCATTCAGGGATCGGATATTTCACAGAACGTCAGAAGTTTAGTTATCCTTTGTGAATAAATCATTTTTAAATGTATTATGAATAAAAGGTGATCCGTGGTTTGTTAACAAACACATAGTATATTTTTAGAGTTGGGGGGCAGGCTAGCCTAGGTAGAGGGGGCTTCTTTGCCTGAGGTACCTGGTTCAAATCCAGCCAATCAATATTTTATTTATGTGATAGGCCGAAAACCCAGTAGTACTAGCCTGAACTAATGTGTAAAACAATTCCGGTTCAGAACTAGCATCCCAGGATTTAAAGGTAAGACATAAAAAGCATATATAAAGAGTAAATTTAACGAAAAACCTCCTTACAATGCTTTGACTGGTATTTCTTGTTCCTTATTTCTTGTTATTCTTTTTTTCGTGAAAAACATATTGACAATAAAATAGTGAAACTGTTAATATCTTAAAACTTTTAATAGGCTCTTAAATATGTTAAAGCTGGTTGTAATTACTGTATAATAAAATCTA